ACTACTGACATATTCAGCGTACACAGGCCAACAGACATAGGAGACTCGAAAAATCCAGAGTTTCATATGGGCCGGGTGTGCATAGCAGTCTTTAGCCGATAACTGCATTTCAAAGACTTGCCTGCTTGCATACGGCGGTCAGTTTAACCAGTAATGTCACCGGTATATTGCTAACATATCGATTCGGAAGAATATTGTTTCCCTGTTCCGTGTAGCACCTGTTAAAAAGAATAACATTCGAATGCGAAACATGACAGCACAGAAACAGGAAGCATTGTTGTTATCTGGTCATGCAAAGAGCGATAAGACGGAAGAAGAAATTTTCCCATAAATAAGCAAGCAGTGTGACGCCCTTAAATTAAGTGAATAGCATGTGGACTGTCGTGGTGAGTTTCACGTGGGTATAACTCGGATGACTTCGGAATACCACCTCTATGCAAGAAGTGCACACACAACATAGCTAGATAACTGAGCGTGACACGACTGTGTTTGACCTCTGACGCACCTGTGTGCAAATTAGAAGCTGTTGTCGGAGGCTGCTCTTGATAGTTATTGCAGTTGAGAATAAGTACATGTGACATGAATTGGGCGCCAGGTTCCGATTTTAATGAAGAAAAATTCCACAGGAAAAAAGTCCTCGCTCGTAGTATGTCTTTTAGCGCAATAGCGCTGCGTTTTAACACATTTTGTCGAGAGGTCTTCTGTGTGTGTGTGTTCGCAAGTGAGTGAACTTTATCACCTACTTTCATCTCAGCAACCAGGAAAGCTGGGAGGCTGAAATCCTGTGTGTATGTTCCTACCCCGTGTGTCACCCTCCCGTTTTAAACTTTCACTCATACGCGCCTAGATCTCGCGTACGGCCCCCCGAAAAAACATGCAAATTTCTTTGGCGCGGAACGATTTCGTGAACCAGGCAAGATACAAAGCTGAAACTTTGCAGGAATATTCTCTGTGCATGTGAGAGCTAAAGATTTCAAATTCACCTGTCGTGCACGCTTGTGCAGCGCGTACGGTCATGTCAGCGTTTGCATCTGGAACTGCGCTAACTTG